GTTTGATCCTCAACCTTCGCCATATATATCGTGAGTAAAAATGCAGACGGATTTGAAGAAGAATTTCTCGGTGCAGCCGGAGCAATTAGCAAACAGCATTATGTTATTGACTACCTAGACAGCGTTGACTTCATTGATGAAGCCGTGAAGATAATTCTCGATGTTATAGAAGAGGTACACAAGAGGTCGATGTCAGATAAGAAAATGGACCAGTAACTACAAAGAAGTTTTGAAAAACGAGCCCTAGGACTATTTTGGAACTCAAATGACGACAATTCTCTTTTTTACTTGGAGGTAACAAAAATTTCAAAATTATTTTTGAATGAATTGAAGATCACTAAGGGGGGTTTATTCAAAATTATCATGTCTTCATTTGATTCTCTTGAAGTTCCTAACTCATTTTACAATCAAAGCCAAAATTTTTATGCAAGGTTATGGGGAGTGGGTCTAGAATGGGAAGATGAATTCGATGATATAACGAATGAAAAGTGGACTAGATGATTGAACGAATTTTAAAAATCAAGAGGATAATTCAGCTGAATTCAATGTGAAGAAAGAATATCTGTCTGAGAAAAAAAATATATGATGGTAACTATTTTGAGTAACGATATTATTTTCGATTCCTTTCCAAATATTAGTCGTTTTTCTTCTTTCATGAGAATTTTGAGAACAATGCATGGATTCTGAGAGTAGGTACCTGAAATTTTGAATTACAAAAGGACCTTTTGTTCCAATTTGTTTTCTGATGGAATTGACTCAGCAGAAAAATATTGATATAACATATTCAGAATAAAAGAATTCAGGAAGACATCACTTGTTTAGAGAAAAAGTTTACTCTTCCTAATAATAGCAGGAGTCACAAGATATTTTTTTATATTCGGAAGGAATTTTAAAAGTAGATGGAAGACTGAAGACGTCAAATATCATTGATGATTGTATTGAATATCCTATCATTTTGAACAACAAAATTATTTCGCCCGAATATTATTTATGTTTTATCATAATAAAATAGGTCATCATGGACAAGAGTTGGTTCTGAACGAGGTGAGGCAGTTTTGAAAGCGCGAGCAGCCGTTAGAAGCACTTGGAACACGTGCCAATTATGTAAAATTTTGAGGGGTAAGACCAGCAGTCCCAGAAATGTCACCACTTACTGAATGCAGAGCCGGCCTTTCACTTTTACAAGAATGGAATATTTTGATCCTATGATGTTCACTGTTCGTAGATATCATGAAAAACGCTACGGAGTATTATTTACATGTCTAAGTTAAAGGGCTATTCACTTAGAATTATTTAGTTCTTTGACTACGTGACTACATATTCAGAAATTTCAGCTGTCAGATGACTGGTGGAAAGAAGATGATGTCCGCAACGCAGTAACTCCGATAATGGAACCAATTTGAGAGGTGCAGCTAAAGAATTAACAGATTATTTGTTGCAGAATTATCAGAATAAGATGGTGTGGAAAATGACTGAAAAAGAGATCCAGTGGGTATTCCAGATCCCCCTTGCTCCTCACATGGGAGGCTGGTGAAGTCTGTGAAAATAGCCCCTTAAGAATAATTTTCCAAAGAAGAAATTTTTTCAACATTATTGATTGAAGCTGAGCACACTGTGAATAGTAGACCACTAACTCATGTTTCTGTAGATCACACCGACAAAGAAGCCCTGACTCTCAACCTCTTCTTGATAAGATCGTCCAGTGCAGCGCCTGTTCCTTGTTTACTGAGCAAAGAAGATGTCGTAACCAGAAAACAATTGGAAGATAGCACAACTCTAAGCAGTTCGTTTCTGGAGGCAGTTGATTGAAGAAGATCTTTCCTCACTGGTGAGAAGAACGAAGTGGTAATGTGGGCAACTCCGAAATCTACAAGTCGACGACGTAGTCATCATAGTTGATGAAGATTTACGTAGAAATGTCTGGCTGAAAGGCATCAAATCTGCAGTTTTTCCTGGCAGCGATGGCCAAGTGAAAACGGTAGATATCGAGACCAAGTTGGGAACCTATCGCCGACCAGCAATGAAGATTTGCAGATTAGATGTAACAAAAAATGAATAATAGGTTTTCCATCACTGAGAGGAACAATGTTACATGATATTTTTAAATAATCTACAGTTATTTCTTTTTATGTTATTATTCTCCTTGTTAGCTATATGAGAGAGCGAAGACTGAATTTGAATATGTAGAAAGTTAGAGATTTTCTTAGACTCGAAATATTTTAATTTAAGTAAAAAAACAGTACGTTTAAAGATTTACACTGTTTTTTTGGCATGGATTATTGATCAAATTACAACTACAAAGTCTTAAATAGTGACGGGTTTGGTGATAAAAACTGTGAGAAATAGAGAAGATTTATTTCTGGTGATTTTGAACTATAATACTATCCCAAAAACTGACCTTCCAGCATTCTTCTGCTTGGAAGAAGATTGAGAACGTATTTCATGAAGAAATATTGAAAGCGATGTTTCTTAAAGGTGAGACCAGAAAACAGATGAAAACTAATGAAGTCAACCAAAAATACGTTATGAAAATGTTGTTGATGTTTTTTTTGAATAGGGCGTGCAACATATATTCGTTGATTACATTTTGTAGCATTACTATTTATAATTGAGCTGCTTTGACAGCATGGCACATGGGTGGTCGTTAGAAATCTCGTTGAGAATTTTCCTTGTTAGTTAGTTTTGAATGCCCTTTATGACATTATACAGACAGGTTGTTATACAATTATTAATTGTAATAAAGTCAAGAAGTGTTTAAACTTGGGCATTATTATTTAACCATAGTCACAAAAACAAGGATAATATATCAAGATTTAATAAAATTAACGTGAAAAGGCATTATCAACTTTCATTCAAAACATTATTTTATCCCGAATATTAAAGCTGCTTTCGTTCACCCACATTTTGTATTGTGATTAGAAAGAATAGATACCTTCTATACCCGAAATCACCTTGTTCTTCAAAATGCACAATTACTAATACACAAGACTCACCAAATCGCGTATAATGAAGACTTGAAAAATATAAAGACTTGGGTGGCAACAGAAGTTACAAAACACTTATTATTATTGACATCTATCTATCTATCTGTCATTCTTCGAAATATATTCAAAGATACTAGGTGTATTTTCGTCACTCTGTATAATCATTCGATCATCATTAATTTAAATCGCCTAGATTCATTTAGTGCAGATGATGGAATGAAAAATAGCTTATCACCAAATGAAAGCATCAATTTATCGAAACTTCACACATTTGATTGTGACCTTTCATGCGAGATACATGTTCAGTGTTGCAAAGTAAGTTTCAGTTTATGCCAATTTTAATTAACCAAGATTTATAAAGATTATTTTCTTTTCTATACAATTATGATCAGAGGTTACCCTCGACTTCATATGAAATGAAAATGTATATGTTTTCAGGGCGCAATTTTAAACAATCTTGATCAGTGGCATGAAGCCACATAGAATTGACATAAATCGTTCGTAAAATTTTTTGGGTTAAAGAAGACCAGCATGGTGGCAAACTGTTGGAGTCATAACTTTTCACTGTTTTCAAAAAGTGCTCATTATCTTCTTTTGTGGAATATATGATTTGTTTTATGATTTATAAGTAGGCAAGCTTACCTAGGCATATCATACCTAGGCATACCTAGGCATATCATTTGAGATGAAATTTATTCGGTTATTTAAAGAGTGAAGGTGATGAAAGGATATGGATTGAAATTAATTCAATTAAAAATATGTGAACTTTTTGATAGGCAAATTATTATAGGCATGTTTGTTAATAAATTATGTTTGATAAAAATATGTCCCATTGAGTTATCTGATGGGTGAAGGTCGATCTCCTACCGGTAAAGTAATTTAGGATGTCTTCTGTTTTGATACTTTGGCTTGATATGATATGATATGATTGATATGATATCGGAAATAGCTAATGGAGATACAGATTATGCTAAAAATATGAAATTATGGAAGATTCAACATATTGTTCAAAAACTGTAACAGGCAAATGAGACAAACATATTTTCAATAAAACGAGTTTGCATTATAATTGGGAGGCTACAATTCTTGGCTCTATTTTTCCATTTCAAAGTCTTGAAGGAACCTTCATTCGCCACCCTTGGGCTTAACGGGTTGAAAAATATCGATAATATGTGTTTTACTATTAGTGACAGTAATCCAATATTTACCAAACCCGAAATGGTTGCTGCTGCATTTGAAAATGGACCTACATTAAGTGAGAGACTATTTGAGAATTATTTAGAAACAATTTGGAAGTTACCATCAACTTTTTTCTAGAAGGTTTAGACATTTATAATTAAGCAGCATACAATGTAAAACCTGTTCTTTATAATCGTTGTGCGTTACATGGTTTACCATGGTATCCACCTACCAGTAGGTGGCACAAATACCAATAATTACCAATAATGGAATTGGTGATATACCAATATATCACCAATTCCAATAAAGTCCACCTTTTCAGACCTCAAATGGTATCGAAAGAATATTCAGCAACAATGTTTCAATACCCTGATACTGAATTCAAGTGAAACCTGATTATTTCTCATACTTTTTCAGATTAGCAGTACCCAAAGAAGTCATAAAAATTAATCACTGAAACTTTCAACTTACCTTAGAGTTTTCTAGAACCTCTACAAGTTTCGTTGTCTTTGGATTCAAAATGTCATATGTATACTCATGGATCTTACAACTTTTGATTGTCTTACTTACTTCAGGAATTTTTATCTGGAAATATAGCACAAGAAAATTCGATTATTGGAAAAAACGAGGAGTATTCAATCCTCAGCCAGTCCCTTTTCTGGGAAATCTTTCTGACATTCTATTTATGAGGAAAAACCTCGCGGATTTGATAAAGACACTTTATTCCACAACAGATTTGCCGTACCTTGGATTTTTTGCATTTGATGAACCCTATCTGATGGTTAGATGTCCTAAACTGATTCAACGCGTCCTAATTAAAGATTTTTCATACTTTTCCGATAGAAGCGTAGTTCACATTCTCACATGGCGAGTTTCACATTCTTACAAAAGAATCCAGCTTGGAAAAGAACTAGAAACAAACTCACCCCTGTTTTCACATCGGGAAAAATTAAACGTATGTTCACTTTTGTGAATAGCGTGGGCGAGAATTTAGTTGACTACTTACAGAAAAATTTAGGAGATATCGAAGCAAAGGAAGTGGCGTCTAAATATTCGACAGATGTCATAGCAAAGTGTTGTTTCGGAATTGAATCCAAGTGCTTTGACGATGAGGATATAGAATTTCGAAAATTTGGGAGGAATATGTTTGATTTCTCTTGGAGAAATGCTTTTGCTTTCGTAATTTATTTTTTCAGACCACGGTGGGTGGGTACTTTTCGAGTTGATTTTATAAACCGAAGTTCTATAAAATTTTTTTGCCAAGCATTTTCAGAGACCTTGAACTACAGGAAGTTGTGCAAGATGAAAGTGGGAGATTTTGCGGATTTAATCAATGACTTGAAGGAGGCTAGTCACTCACGCGAATCAGGTAATTGAATATTTTTCCACACTCTTAAAGCATAATGATATCCACTGTTGATCAGTTATTTCATCTGAATTTTAAATTACTTATATCGATTTTTTATGCCTTACGTTCCGTTTGCAACTGCCGTGTATATTATTGAAGGCGACGGGGCAACGGCGAAGTTCTTTAGGAAGTCTAATCAACAAGTTCAAAAACATGAGAAATAGAGATAAAGGTCCTAAAAATATGAACGATAGCCCATTCGATTCGGAATCACCTCCAGAAAAATGTTTTGAAGGATTTCGGTGCAGGTAAAAATTGCAATTGTTATTAACAAAATAAGATTTAAAAAAAGGTATTTAGTTTTTCGTTAATAACTCAAAATTTTCTGGCATTGCAATCCAAACACTGAATGTTCACCGAGTAAGTTTTTTAATGTGTAAATACGTATAATATATCTTTCTTTTTTTCCTATATTTTTGAATTTTTCAATTTTTATCTATGTAACGTGAAATTTTTATATTCTCATGCGACTTTTTGACCTGCCAATTGTACTCTGTATGTAAATATGGCTAATAAATATTAATAATACTATTTACTACATTTGATACCTACTGCATATGTATATGAACATTTCAAATTCTTTAAACGAGATCAACAACCAAGAGAAACCGTTGATCGGTTTGTTACTATATTAAGGCAATTGTCATCCTTATGTGAAATCAAAGAGAAGGACGTTCTGGAAATAAGGAAATAAGTGAAATAAGTGGAAATAAGTGATATTGTTTTGATAGAACAAAACATTGAAAAACATCTTCAGTGCAAACCCATATGGCTTAGGTTTTTGGTAGTTGTGGAATCGAATTATATTTGTCTTATTACTATTGAAATAGAGAGATTTCTGATCACACCATGAAATGAGATAACTAATTGCAGTTGTACACTTTTGTTTCAAGGTATTTTCACATTTGTCAGAGACAAATATATTGGTGTCATCTGCATATCTAATAAAGCTGGCAGAAAATTCGATATTATCCATGTCATTTGTGTAGAATAAATATAAAATTGGCCCCAAAACAGAGCCATGGGGAACGCCCATAGAGATATTTTGATATGCAGATTTAGTGGAAGATATACTAACAAACTGTTTTCTGTGGGTCAAGAAACTTCATATCCAGTCGAGTGAAACTCCACGAATACCATATTTGTGCAATTTAGACAAGAGTACCTCATGCTGAATGCAGTTGAAAGCCCTGCTGAGATCACAGAAGATCCCAACAGGGCACTCACCTGATTCGATTGCTTTGATCAATTTTTCATAAAATGACAACACCGTACTCTGAGTTGAGCGTCCTGGCGAAACCATGTTGGTTATCTAAGAAGATACTATGACTTATTGCAAAATTCATAAGTCTTTGGAGATAAGAATATTCAAAAACTTTAGAAAAGCAGGATGTGGCAGTAATGAGCCTATAATTTTCAAGATTTTCTGGATTTTGTTTTTGTATACTGGGATGACTTTGCCGAATTTCAATAAAGATGGAAAACATCCACAAGTGAAAGAAAGATCAACTAGATAAAATAGAGGTGAAATAATGTGACGTAACACGTTCTTCACTGGGATTATGGAAAAAATAGATAGATGAAATGTAAAACAGAGCCATGGGGAACGCCCATAGAGATATTTTGATATGCAGATTTAGTGGAAGATATACTAACAAACTGTTTTCTGTGGGTCAAGAAACTCCATATCCAGTCGAGTGAAACTCCACGAATACCATATTTGTGCAATTTAGACAAGAGTACCTCATGCTGAATGCAGTTAAAAGCCCTGCTGAGATCACAGAAGATCCCAACATGGCACTCACCTGATTCGATTGCTTTGATCAATTTTTCATAAAATGACAACACCGTACTCTGAGTTGAGCGTCCTGGCAGGAAACCATGTTGGTTATCTAAGAAGATGCTATGACTTAATGCAAAATTCATAAGTCTTTGGAGATAAGAATATTCAAAAACTTTAGAAAAGCAGGATGTGGCAGTAATGAGCCTATAATTTTCAAGATTTGCTGGATTTTGCTTTTGTATACTGGGATGACTTTGCCGAATTTCAATAAAGATGGAAAACATCCACAAGTGAAAGAAAGATCAACTAGATAAGATAGAGGTGAAATAATGTGACGTAACACGTTCTTCACTGGGATTATGGAAAAAATAGATAGATGAAATGTCGCCAAAAATACAGAGATTAGCCATTCGCTTGTTAAAATATCACTTTACGCTATAATATGTGCCAGGAAAGTTCCTAAAAGTTTGGAAAATAATCTGAAAGTACATTCTGATATTTTCACTTCGAAATAAAATGAACTCAAGTTGTGAAAAGCCAGATCGGAAGATTCAACCTTACAAAAAATTAGATATTTTACTTTGAAAAATTAGCCATTGCATATGGGTAATGTTCCATCTGGAATTAAAAAATATTGGGATATAAGAAACGATATTTTTCACATAATAATATACTTTTTTGTCATAAAAGAAAAATAATTCGAAAAGTTTCCAAAGAAGAATTTTTTAACTTAATTATCGTGTTTGTCAAATGTAGTCGAGAACTAATGATAAAACACCCTTACAACCTACTTTGGAAACAAATTCTTTGGATTTTATGACTTTAAATTCAACAAATTTTACAGTTTCAGTTGATTAGTCGATTGATTCAGTAAATATTGTATTTTAAACAAATTAACTGCAAAAAATGCTCAAAGTGTAATTTCTACTATGGAAAATATTTTCAGTCTGCATGGCCTTCTGGAAGAAGTTTTTTCGGACAATGGTTCATCTTTCATGGGAGTTTGAACATTTTGCATATTACAAAAAATTATCAAGTTCTATTCGTCATTATCCTCGAAGTATTAGTCAAGTTGAGAGGTCAATACAAACAACACAATACAAGTGGTAAAAAAACATAGTAGTAACGTAGTAACGGCTACATCCATCAATTCATCCTTAAAAACTATTGAAGGTGATACATACTATTTTTATAGACTGCATTGTTATTTATCAGTTGTTATTGTTCTTATCAGCTATGAAAATTATACGACAGATGAGAGTCGGTTGTTATAAGACAGATAGAGCGAAGACTGAACATGAATATACAGTGTCATCCCCAAAATATGCACCATATGGTAAACTCCTTTATTGAGAGTTTTTCGACAAAAAATTATTTCTGATAAAAGTTTGTGTATCCCCTTATATACGAGGAGCCTTCAAATATTTGATTCTGAGACAAGAGTAAAGTACTTTTATTTTGAAAAATCTCGGAAAATGTTATTTAGAATAGTTGTTCATTATTGAAAAATACATCTAGATTTGAAGTCGTGGCCATCTAAGTGAAGTTTCGTTTTTTTACTCTTTTTTTTAATGGGCACTACGAAAAGAAAAATTTGCTAAAACGATAAATAGACAGCATCCTGTATAAGACGTTTTATTTTGAAAGCCTGCAATATTACGAATTGAACAACTATGGTGTGAACCACGGTCAATTTTTTTGAAAAGTTTTTGGTTCAAAGTTTTTTATTTTTTGTTAACACCGAAAATTACTCAAAATCAGAACAGATCATTGAACAGATTTGGAGATTGTTTTATATTTCTATATCCTGTGATCGGATCAATTTCGATGTCTATGAACTTGGAATATTAAAAGATGGAATTCTGAATAGTGAGTATTTTTGTTTTAGAATATTGAAGTTGAGGTTGGAACATATTTCAATTCATGTATTTACTTGAATGAATTTGAATTATTTCATGATCATTTTCCATATTTGACACATCTCACCTCCACGATGAAGCTGACTCGCAGCTTTCTGGGTGGTAAAAAAAAACAAAAAAACAAAATTGAAATTCGAATGAAACTCACTACTTAATTGAAATATTAAAAAGTAAAGGGTTTAAAATATGATTATAAACATCAATTATTACAAACTACATGTCCTATAAAAGTTAGAAAAAACTATATTGCCCAGTTGATTTTGCAACTATGAGTTCCCACACTGATATTGTCCTAGTCCGGCACTGAACTTTATCTGTCTTCGTGTCACTTCACCAATCTGTCCGCACAGCATTCCGTATCTTGGTTCTGATCTTGTTTTGGTTGACGGCTGCTGAGCTACCACAACTCAACTGGATGGAAACATTGGCAACGTAACAGTAGACTGAATTGAACTGGACTATAATTACGTATTACGTTGTGCTTTGCGTTTTCTCGTATTCACAGAATATGTTTTATGGTTTCTGTGAAATGTATCTGTCATTCTGTTCCAAGCCTATTCTCTCACTTGTGTATAGATAAGAAGAGTTACGACTTGACACTGACACATGACATACATATAATTTGATGAGTGGGTGAATATTTAGCGGCATTTTTCCTTCACTGAAGTAATTTTGATTTTACACTTTGAAATATATTTATATGTGTGGGTTCATCGTGTAATAGTGTGATTGTGTTATTAGCGGCCCTGGATTATAAAAATTCACTACTTAGAGTGCTTTTGGGTTGGGTTGCATTTGTGGTTCTGTTGTGTCAGCATTTATGAAACTAGCGTTGTTTCCATAAATTATTTGCGAAATATTTTCTATAGGCTGCTTGGGATTTGGATTATCCTAGTACTCAATGCTATGACAATGATTCTGGATCGTTTTGAGTATTACAATTCTATTCACATATTATTATGTCTATGGATGATGTCTGCCCACACAGGAACTGTTTATCAGCCACTCAGAACAGCTGCTAATGCAACAAAGTAAGTATTTGATTCTGGTTGAATATGGCACTAGTGACTGCGATATTCCTATAGTCTATTCATTTAAGCCCTGATGATTCAACTTAAAGTTTCCCTAGGTCATCGTACTGTCTGTGATAGGATCTGATGAATGTCCTCGAGTGGAAAACCGTAACAGTGGTGATGGAGTAGTGGAGTAGTGACTGCCTCGTAATGCCTTGGGGTGTGATGGTGCCTCGATTGCGTGAA